CAATCACCAAATGATCTTCACAACCAAGAGGGGATTTGGGCCCTGGTCTTTCAGGTCCGAGACACTGGCATCATAAAACTAGGGTTTCCATACATCTGGAATTTCCTGGACATAGCCGGGATCTGGCCATCGGAAGCTGTGTCCAGGCAGAAATTGCTGAAATGTCCAGGAAAATCCAGACATATGGCAACCCCATGTTGGTAGTGTATAACTTGGCGGATTTCCTTATAACTAACTCAAAAACTTCCTTTTTTTTGGTGAGGTTTTGCAAAGAAGAAGAAGAAGAAGAAGAAGAAGAAGAAGAAGATTAACAAATTTGGGCAAAAAAATCCAACAACTTTGACACGCTAATGTGTCAACACAAATAGATGTTATTAATATTGCAGTTGTTGTATGAGGGATTATGATGATGATAGGAATGGAATTGTAATTAATAAAATTTTGGAATGCAGAAATAAAGAAAACCATCAAACCATCAATTCTAGCACATGGGGGGGCCACCTAAATTATATAATTATATATAAATAAATTGAATTGTTGGTATTAGTAACTGTATTATAAATTGGTATTGTTATAACAAGGCTATTATTGCATTGTAATTGAAAATTAATAAAATTATTATTGGGGGGGGAAAGGCTCAGCAACTTTGGCCAACAATTTTTGTCTCTGGATTTTCCCCTTTTGAAATATGGAAACTCTAAGTTTCACTCCCCTACAAGGTAGCGATAGTCACCAAATTGGATGGCTTTAGAAGATTAGGCAAATTCATGGAGGAGGGGCTGCTTCTGAATACCAGTTGCTGAAAACACAGGAGGGGCCCTGTGTTCGAATCCTGCTCATGGGTTTCCTCACAGGCATCTGGTTGTGTGAAGGGGATGCTGGACTGGATGGGCCATTGGCACTTCTTATGTTCAGCAACATTACCTGCTTCACAATCCCCCTAGCAACTCAGAGGCATGGCTTCTCAGCCTTGAGCCTTTCGATGGCTGGGCCAACCCCGACAGACGGGCGGGATATAAATAATAAAATCACGACTGCTACTACTAGTGATAATAATTTTATTATTTGCACCTTGCACCCATCTGACTGGGTTGACCCAGCCACTGTGGGCGGCTCCCAAGAGAATATGGAAAACACAATAAAACATTAAAAACATCCCTATACAGGGCTGCCTTCAGATGTCTTTTAAAGGTTATACAGTGGAATCTTGGGTTGCGGACGTAATCCATGACAGAGGCACGTCCACAACCCGCAGCGTTCGCATCCTGAAGCGCCACGTCTGCGCAGGCGCTGGTGTGATTTGGCGCTTCTGCGCATGCGCGAGCGGTGAAACCCGGAAGTACCCCGTTCCGGTACTTCCGGGTTTCCCGCGGTCCGCAACCCGAAAACACGTAACCTGAAGTGTCCGTAACATGAGGTATGACTGTATACAGTGGTACCTCGGGTTAAGTACTTAATTCGTTCCAGAGGTCCGTACTTAACCTGAAACTGTTCTTAACCTGAAGCACCACTTTAGCTAATGGGGCCTCCTGCTGCCGCTGCACCGCCGGAGCACGATTTCTTGTCTCATCCTGAAGCAAAGTTCTTAACCTGAAGCACTATTTCTGGGTTAGCGGAGTCTGTAACCTGAAGCGTATGTAACCCGAGGTACCACTGTAGTTACTTTTCTCCTTGACACCTGATGGGAGGGTGTTCCACAGGGAGGGCGCCACCACCGAGAAGGCCCTCTGCCTGGTTCACTGTAACTTGGCTTCTTGCAATGAAGGAACCAGCAGAGGACCCTCAGCATTGGACCTCAGCGTCCGTGTAGAACAACGGCGGTGGAGACTCTCCTTCAGGTCTACTGGGCCGAGGCCGCTTAGGGCTTTAAAGCTCAGCACCAACACTTTGAATTGTGCTCAGAAACATATTATTGTCATTGCTACTGCTGCTGCTGTTCTTATGGCCCCCATTCATTTCAGTGGTGCAGTGCGTGAATCGTGTCCACAGCACTGAGCAAAACAAAGGTCAAGGAGTTCCCACATTTCCGCTTAAAATGCCCCCTCCCTCTGCCTCATTTACCTGGACAATCTGTTTTGCAAAAGAAAAAACACAGAACAGACCCCTAAATAGCCATTTAGCTCCCAATCCATATTTAACTCTTCTCAAATCTCTCTCTTTCCCCACCTCACTTCTTTGAGCATCATAATTGCCAGATATGATCTTCAAAGGCTTTGGGGAAGCTTTGATGTGAGGTGAAGTGGCTTTCCTCATCCCTCTCCTCCTGCTGCAAAATGTTAATAGCTTTGAACCTGGGGGAGCCCGAGGCAAGAGAGGGTTAAGGCAGAAAGGAAAGGTAAAAAATATATAAATAAATTTGAAAAACCCTCCAGGGATGAGCATTCACCTCCCCCAGGTAAACCCAGAGCCTCTTTCAAATGCATCTCTCTCTCTCTGTGTCTTCCTCTGTTCCACAGTAAGCAAGTCAGGTGTTTTCCTGCCCCCCCCCCAGCGCGCAGGTTTGGGGGCAAATTTGGTGTGGCTAGCCAGCCTGTTTTGTTGCTTCTGTTGCTTGGGGCAAAGGAACAGGCAGATCCCCAAAAGCCAAACCTCCTTTTTCACAGGGCTGAGCACCCTTGCAAAACTTCAAGGCCTTTTTTGATGACACCCGAAGACTCACCTGAGCAGGTTGGGAAGGGGAGAAGCTCAGCGGAACAGCATCTGCCCAGCATGCACAATCCCCAACATCTCCAGGTACATAGGAAGCTGTCTTATACTGACCAATATAGCTCAATAGTGCCGACACTGGCTGGCAGCAGCACTCCAGGGGTTCAGGCAGGGGACGATTCCAGAACCTACCTAGAGATGTCACTGGGGACTGTAACTGGGACCTTCTAGGTGCAAAGCAGATCCTCTGCCACTGATAGATCCTCACTTAAAAACCCCCCAAGAGCTGCTGCCAGTGAGTGTCGGCACTATTGAGCTATATTGGTCAGGGTCCCTTCCAACTCTGTAATTCTATGATCTAGATGGGCCAAATGACTCACTATAAGGCGGTTTCCTCTGCTCCTATGTATAATATCAACCTCCTCTTTTGCTAACTAATCACAGCCTGGCTACACAGTTTTGAGGAATGCGGAAATACTCCTCTGAGCATATGCAGAGTATTTCCTGCACCTCTTTACTAATCAATCACAGTCCATGGCCTTCTGCTGGAACAATAAACTCGTTGACTGGACTTGAAAACTAATCGGCTATACAGTTTTTATGACCCCTGTAAGCTCTCCTGAACATGTGCAGAGCTGTCTGTCCCCCCTAACTAATCACAGCCTGGTTACACAACTGAGGGGCATTTTGAAAGACCCAGGCGAGAAAACGCAGCTGCTGGAAATTGCGCTTGTAATAAAACAGCAAAGGGTGAACAGGATGCCCCGAGATCTCTGTGTAGAGAGAGAAAGAGGAACCTTTTGCAAAATCGCCAACAGGAGGGGGCTAAAAGGAGCATTCTAAAAAAAAAAAAGACAAACAAGTGTGCTAGGCAAAGCCAGCACAAAATAAGCCCCCATCCAGACGCAAAAGCTGGAGACACACAGGATGTAAACAGGAAAGGCAGGCCACCCACAACAAGCTAAAAAAACTGATAGCCTTGGATTTGCGCCCGGGGAGACGCAATCTGCCATCCCTCGAAGCGGTGGCTGGCTTCAAGAGGGAGCGAATAAGCAGAGGCTTTTAAGCAGATGTTGGGCAGCCATCTGTCCTGGATGCTTTAGCTGAGATTCCTGCATCGCAGGGGGTTGGTCTGGATGACCCCTGGAGTTCCTTTCCAACTCTACGATTCTATGAAAGGTAGCCAGAGGTGTGAACCTGGGCTCTCCAATCCCAGCGGCGGGGAGGAGGGGAGGTCAGAAAGGGACCCAGCGGGGACGGAAACACACTCTGCGTGTACTCAGGTGACCCATCTGCCCCCTTGCTAGGGGACTAGGAGTGGCTCAAATCAAAGCTACTCCTGGTCCAATAATTTACTCAGAGGGGTGAGAGTTATGCCAGCGCCGTTGGCTAGCTTAAGGCAGCCTGGGCCGACCACGTGCGGTCAATAAATTGGTTGTTACGTTCCAGGGGTGCCAACTTAAATAAAATATTGAGGGCAGGTAAACCCCATTCCGCATAATCGAGCGCGCACACACCATGTGAATGGCGATGCCCATCAACTTGGGGGCGAGGTGGCCCCCTCAAATATTTTATTGGGGAGCCAAAGGGCCCCCCTAATTTAAAGGATTAATGGTATTGCGGATCTGGCTATGGAGCAAGGGAAGGCTGTGACCCCTTAAGCCGCATCAATGGGATGGTTGCTCCATTGAGATGAATGGATCTCGCTTCGGAACACGCGGGGTAGACACAAGCGTCTGCCTAGGGTCTACTCTGAGGGCTCTCACACTATGCGCTCTCGGATCTTGAGCATCGTTAGGTGGGGGGGGGGGGAGTCACTTCTATTACGTTTTAGCCCTTTGGTGGGAGAGGGGCCTTTGGACAGGAGCGGGTGGGAAGTTTGTCAGACGGCTTGAACCCACAATAACACGTCGAGATGTGTCACAAGCGCGCGCAGGCGCAATGGGCAGGCGGGGTGGGGGAGATAAGGCAACCCCCAATCAGAGCATAGCCCACCACCCGCGCCAAAGACTGGATCTTACGCAGAGACCTAGCTTGCACAGCAATCATTAAGAACGTGCCAAAATGATGCCAAGACATGCCGAAGAGGTGCGGAGGTCCTATTTATAAGGGGGTGGGGGTGGGTGGGGAAAGATATGAAATCTAATCTTAGTCCTGCCCCCCGAAATTGCAGCCAGGCAAGCGAGTTAGCAATTAAGACAATGCAAAAAGAAAACGAGAGCGCGGCGGGGAAAACCTTTCGGGCTGGGGAGGGAGAAAGAGAGGAAAGAAAATACTCCCCCCCAACAGAAATAAATGATATTTTTTAAAAAAATAATAATAAATAAATTAAAACTATAAAAGATATTGCGTTTACCTTTAAAATAATGACTCGCTTTATTTTTTATCTTTTAATATGTCGTTATAAATATATTTTGTCAAAATATATGATCATTATTGTCAAAACATTTGCACGTAAAGTCATAAATAAGGTCAAGGTGAACGGATTAAGGGATTTTTTTTCCATTAATTTTTTTTTTTTTTTTTTGCTGGCGCGCACGCGCCGCTGGGTGAGCGGCATAGGTGAGAAAGAGAATTTATGGCATAACTTGATGTTCCTTTTCTTTTTTCGAAAAAAAAAAAGCACAGAAGGCCAACCCATTCTGGAACCTGGGAGGAGGACAAGGAGAAGCAGCTCCTCTTCCCCGCCACTTCCATCCCTGGGAAATTTTGGACGGGGCGGGCTGGATGGTGAGGACAAGGGACCGGAGGGAGAGAACCGGACAGGGAAGAAGTTGATTTATCACTTTTTTTTAAAAGAAAAAAAATTCTCTCTCTCTCTGTTTCTCGCGTTTAACGACACCCACACCCTTCGACCACCATCTCCTGGTAATTCTTGAGGACCACCTTGTCGTACTCGTCCAGGTAGAGCATAGAGATGGCGCTGAGCTCGGTGGGGACGCAGCAGGCTTTGGGGATGCTGCCGTTGACCGAGTTGACCAGCGTCTGCACGATGGCGTGGTTGGTAGAGTTGAGGTGGTCAGCCAAAGGGAAAGGGCAGTCCCCGTGGCAGTAGAAAGCCTGGTAGCCCGGCGGGGCCACGATCCAGTCGTTCCAGCCCACGTCGCTGAAATCCACATAGAGCGCGTGGCGGCGGCAGTTCTTCTTGTTCTTGCGCGCGCGCTGGTGCGCGTGCTTGGGGCTGCGCTTGGCCCGGCGCGTCAGCAGCGACTGGCCCCGGCCGTCGTGGCTGAAAGTGACCAGCAGGGGCCGGAGGCGGGCCCAGTCTCCGGCCCCCAGGCGGCCCCCTTGAGGTAAAGAGCGGCTAATCCGGACATGGCTGCCCTGGTGAGTCTGTAGCGCGGGGTGGAGGGGCAAAACCTCCACGGCCAGCCCGTGGTTGGGCTGGCCGCCTGCGGTCCATCGGATAACGGCAGGGCTCACGTCGAAGCTCTCCCAGCGGCTCACGTTGTGGTGCACCAGGCGGGTGTCCAACAGGCGGGTGGCCAGGTCCTCCCCTCGGCGGAGGGGCTTCATCACCTCGTAAATGTTGATCCGGTGGAAGCCCCTCTCCCAGGAGGACGCCCCGTCCTCGCCGACGATCTGCTGTCGGAAGAGCCGCAGCTCCGCCGAGGAGATGGCCTCGCCCGACGGCACGCTGCTCAGGTTGAAGAAGTAGCGCAGGCGGGCCGGCTGGTTGGCGGGCCCCGGGACTTGCTCGAGGTGCTCTGGAGAGGGGAAGGGGACCGGGAGGAGAAAGCAAGAGACAGGACGGTTGGTGGTGGCAGGAGGAAGGAGAGACAGCAACAGACGCGCAGAACAGACGGCGCGGTTTGGGCAAGCCCGGACAAAACCGAGCGTGCGATGGCCGTGGGTTGGGTGGCTGGCTGGGTCAGCGTCACGGGAAGGGCGCGATCCACCTGCTAAAGCACCGGGCTGGAGAGGAATAATACCCCTATCCATCTCCTCCAAAAGTAAAACCTCACCACCCCCCACTTTTGTCCATTTCACCTGCCTTTTGGGTTATCGCCACCCCCTGGCCGGCCCAGTTTACTCGGGGGGAAAGGCTCTTTTGATTGCCAGGAGGTGTCTGCTGCCTAATAGAAGCGCGCGAGGACTAGAGGACGAGCCCCATCCTTGGACGCCTTGCGCAAAAGTTGCGCTGCGGGCAACAAGGCATAGTTGGGGATAGCATTGCTGCGATCCTAAACGCGCTTTGCTAAGAAATGAAGCCAGGCCAGCGGGTGATCGGGCTGCAAGGCTGCGGTTCCTGGCCCACTTATGAGGGTGCAACATTCCCCCCGCCCAGCTTAAATCCTTAGGATTCCCTTCATAGTACAATACAGCCAACATCCTGCATAAGAAAGGGCGTAGGTAACTGCTCTCAGTTTAGGAGAGTCTTTGCTTTGAACTCAGATCATCTTGCTGGTAGAGGTTCGATCCTCCGCCCCACACACTCTGGCGCCCTCTCCCCACTCTGTTCTCTGCCCCATTGTAGAAGCCTAGTGAGCTGTTTGCTCAGGCACCATTTGTGAGTCCCAGCCCTCCGAGCACGCCCTATCGTTGTTACTTTTTAAATTTTTTTGCCCCACCTTACATGTGCACGGCGCTGGCCATCGAGCCAACAGCACAAAGGACCCTGCCCGCGAGGAGGATGCAAGCACGCCTTTAGGATTCAAGAACAGGCCTTCCCATTGTCCCAGGAAGAGTTAAACCCATGCGCCTCTCCCTCTCCCCCCCCCCCGCCTCTCTTTTAAAAAATACATCGGACGCTCTCCATTTAAGTGTAGGTTTAGTAACTGTGAAATTCAGCCTCGCTGGATTCCCACTAGTCCGTGTATTGCGGGGTCGGGTGGCTTCTTGCGCTATCCGCCAAATTCGAATCAAGTCGTTGTTCTGTTATTTCCACATCCCCCCCTCCGTCACCTCTGCACATAAGCAGAGTGCATTGTAGCCTGTCCTTCCCCTATAAGTTCTTGCACGTGCTCGTGTGATCCATTCTTCACGGCCACGCACGCCCAGAGCACACTTCTTCTCCAGCTCTATCGTTAGCAGACGACTTTGATCCAAAAGGAGCTACTCTTGAGGAAACAGGTTGTGCCTTGCAATAGATGCCCATTTACCAAATACGGCTTGCGAGTTGTAATTTAATAATAATAATAATAGTTCTTACTAATATTGCAGAGGAAAAAGTGGGCAGAAGTGTTTTAAAGCTACGTTTCCTCTTTAAATTTATTGTTAGGGGAAAAGGAGATGCTCTCTTGGTGCGCGAAGCCCCCCCCCAAAAAACCCCTCCTTTCTAATAACAGGGGTTGCAACCAGTACAGACTCCCGGCTCCAGTAGAAAGAAGCAAACTGGCTAGGAAACATTTGGATCCACTTGCAGTTGCATCTCTCTCTCTCTCTCTCTCTCTCTCTCACACACACACACACACACTCCCCCCCCCCCAAACAGACGCAGTTTTACGTTGGTCATTAAAAAAAAGCCATCTCCCTCTCTTCCCTCCCTCCGTTTCCCAAAAGGAACAAGCGGGAGTTTTTTGGTTGGTTTTTTTTGTTTAAAGGCGGGGACGAGCGCTTTGATATTTCTCCATAAACTTCTAAGTTTGGTCCGGGAAGAGAGGAGGAGCGAGATGGGGGTGGGAGTAACAGAACCGGAGTGAAATCTGGAGCAGCTGCTGATGGGCGATTCAGAGAGAGAACGCCTTTCAGTCCGTGCGCACGCAGGCCGACGTTCAACCGGACAAAGGTGATTTAATAATATCAAATAATTTTAGTTGGCAATAGCGGTCTCAATCGTGCAAAAGTAGTCTGCAGACTTCTCTCCTCCCAAGCGACGTACTGTATCCTGCTCTTAAACCAAGCGAGCCCACTTCGCGAGAGGTCAAACCCTTCCCCTAAAACATAATGAGATCGTCTTTCTCGTATAAACGTTTCTCCAGATCCCGGTTTCCGTGTGTGAGCGCAGAAATGCCCGCACAAACCCCCCGCTGTCCGTCCTCCTTAGCTGCTTCCTGGGCAAGGGAGGAGAAGGACGGCACCCGCGCTCATCACGCCTCTCCATAGAGGGGGAGCCAGAGTCACGCCGGAGTATCACACTCGGAACCGGTTTCAATCCAAATCCATCGCATCCACAGCCCGATGCGGAGCAGGGGTGAAGGAGGAGGAGAAAACGAACTACCCCTTCCACCCCCCCCAAAAAAAACCAGGGGACACCTAACCCACCCAGTCCAACCCTGGAATCTTGCAAGCGGTGCTTTTAGCCCGGGTCCGGCCTCGGGCCGCCTGATCCTTTCAGGAGCATTTACTCGCAAGAAAGCCCCAACCGGACACTAGGAGGGGTGCATCAGATTTCGTTCCTCCCCACCTCCCCGCAAAAAAAAAAAATCAAATTCTGAAATCCCACCACCACCATCATAATAGTCGGAGATCTACTCAGAAGCGCTCCGTGCGCCCCTTTCCAGTTTGCATACCTTCGTGGTGGAAGCTCCTCACGGTGTTGGCGCGGCTGGTGGACTTTTCCGGGTACTGGAGGCTGAGATCCTGCAGCTTTTCCTCCTCTTCCCCGGACTGGAGGCGATAGAGATCCAGCATGTATGAAGGGACGAGCGCCGCCTTGCTGGGCTGCGGCCGCCGCCGGAGCCCGAACATCTGGAGTAGGGTAGCCTCGAACCCGCGCAAGAGTTCATGGCTCGGGAACGGGCGACGCGAAGTCCCCGAGGCGCCTTCTCCGTCTCCGGCCTCCCCGGCTCGCTGCTGCTGCTGCTGGAGATAGTCCCCGACAACTTTCTTCTTCCCAGTCTCGGCAGGTATCAAGCTGGCACGGTTAGTACCTCCTAGCAGCACTCGGCACAATAAAATGACCATCAGGAGTCGGTTACCAGGCGTCATGGTGTCTCTGTTGGGGGGGAGGGAAGGGTGTAGTTGGGTTGGGGGGGCAGAGAGCAGAAGGAGGGGAGGGAAGAGGGGGAGAAGGAGGGAGAAAGAGGAGCAAACAAACAAGGTCCGTCAAAAATGACACACTTTAGAAAAAAGTTAAAGAAACGCACATCCCAAGCTCAAAACACAAAGCAAAACACAAACCAGATTCCCCCCCCCCCCCGAAAATGCAGTGCAGAACCTTATTGGGACTTTACGCCCAGCCAATTAAGACTTGGGACTTTACGCCCCCCCCCCGCAATTATCAACACCCCCCCAAAAAAAATTCTCCTCTGTTTTATCTGAGCAACGATCTGCGTAAAAATGGGGTCACGAAACCAGCTGTCAATACGCGCGAACAAAGTTCCGAAAACCCATCTCTGCTTTTCGCCCATCAAAACAGGGCTTTGCACTTGTTGTTAATGGAAGTAATATTTTTTTAAAATGCACTGGGAGAGGCTGGGAGTCGGAGGTCCCGGTTCATTGTTGAGCAAGCTTCCAGGAGGTCTCCTTGGAAAGCGCTCTCCATAGCAAGTGTCTGTTGGAGCCTTCCCGGCTGCCGGCCGCTAGCCACTAGGTGCCCGCGGGGTAGCCCCGTCCGTGGGGGTTTGCGGGGAGGGGACGGGGAGATCTGCAGCCCCTCTCCGGCGTAAGGGCCTCGTGGATCGCGAAGGGAAGGGGGGGATAAACGCGGAGGGGGAAGGACGCGCCTTCTCCAGGGTCTCCAGTCGTTCTTATTTACTTCGCATTTGACAAATATCCCCGTGGGGTAAAACTAGATCTTCATTTTTAAAAAGGAAAAAAACACACACTACAGTCCGAGCCGATGGGCGTTTGCTTGGAAGTAAGCCCCCAGTAGGGCTTACTCTCAAGTAAGGGCACGGAGAGATTGCACAGAAAATGCTCTCCCCTGAAAACAAACAAACCAAAAAACTGTTTCGAAATGAACCATTTGTTTTTAAAAGGAGCGAATAAAAGGACTCGGAAGTTTGAGAGTCCGGCGCTCGCTCACTCGCTCGCTCACTCACTCTCACACACAACAAGTTCCGTCTCTCTGTCTCCCTCCCTCTCTTTTTCTTGGTTCTTTTTCATCCTCCCCCTCTTTTAAACCAGAACTCACACAAGGAATGAGAAAGCGCTACTCACTGACAGAAAGCAAGGCATATAGAAACAGTCCATGGTTCTTGACAGCCAAGCGTGGAGCAGGACTCGTGGGAAAGCTCACGCGGGGAATCCGGAGTCAAGCCGCTTTGCGGAGCCGGGGAGAGTCTATCTATCGCTCGCTGCTGCTACTGCTGCTGCTGCTTCGCCTTCTTCCTCTTCGTCTTCTTCTCCGGGCTGCGGGCAGGAGCAATCGCGCGCCACGGCTTGCTGCTCCAGAGCGACTCCTGGAAAACGAATATATTTGAATATAATGAAACTCCCGAGCAGGCTGCCTTCTGCTTTTCTTCCAGCCCCGGAGAGGGTCACGTGGGTCCGAGGAGCCAGCCTGTCAATCAGCGGACCGCAAACTCCGCCTTCCTCCTCCTCCTCCTCCTCCTCTGTCCTGGGCTCTGCAAAGGGATGTCCCACCTCCTTGGCCTCTGTCAATCTCCCCGTAGCTTTTCCTTTCCTTTCTCTTCTACTTTCCTTCTAAAGAGAGAGTGTGCGCAGCTGAGTGTGAACTGCAACTCCCTTTGGCTTGATCCAGATGAGAGCCCAAAGCCTTCCCAGTCCAGGCTTTGCCTTAGGTAGCTTAGCATTGTCTGCACTGACTGGCAGCAGCTGTTGGGGGTTCAGACAGGAGTCTTTCTCAGTCCTACCCGGAGACGCCTTTGCATGGAACCCGGGACCTTCATGCAGAGTGAATGATCTGACCACTGAGCTACACTCCCTTTTCTGCATGAGTGCTCCAAGACCACATTCAAAGGCAACTAGGAGGGGGCCCCAAGCCACCCCCATTTTTTTTTAATGCGCTGGGGGAGGGGACTTGCAAAGAAGAGATTGTTGTTGTTTAGTCGTGTCCGACTCTTCGTGACCCCATGAACCAGAGCACGCCAGGCCCACCTGTCTTCCACTGCCTCCCGCAGTTTGGTCAAACTCATGCTGGTAGCTTCGAGGACACTGTCCAGCCATCTCGTCCTCTGTCGTCCCCTTCTCCTTGTGCCCTCCATCTTTCCCAACTTCAGGGTCTTTTCCAGGGAATCTTCTCTTCTCATGAGGTGGCAAAGAAGAGATGCCTCAAACCAAAATGACTCATCTTAAGGCAAAGGGGAGGTATGTACAGCAGCGCCTGTCCCTTGATGCCTGCCATCACACCTCTGCAACACAAGAATCTCATCTAAAGCATCCATGGCAGATGGCTATCCAACCTCTGCTTATAAACCTCCAAGGAAGGAGAGTCTACAACCTCCAGAGCGAGAGATTGGACCAGAGGACGCTCAGCATCCCTTCCAACTGTACAATTCTGTGATTGTATGAAATAAAGGTATTGGTACACTCCATCTGGTATGCAAGCTGAGACCCTACCTGCCCGCAGACTGTCTCGCCAGAGTGGTGCATGCTCTAGTTATCTCCTGCCTGGACTACTGCAATTTGCTCTACGTGGGGCTACCTTTGAAGGTACAAGTAACTACAACTAATCTAGAATGCGGCAGCCAGACTGGTGACTGGGAGTGACAGCCAAGGCCATATAACACCAGTCCTGAAAGACCTACATTGGCTCCCAGTACGCCTCCGAGCACAATTCAAAGTGTTGGTGCTGACCTTTGAAGCCCTAAATGGCCCAGTATACCTGAAGGAGCGTCTCCACCCCTATCATTCTGCCCGGACGCTGAGGTCCAGCGCCAAGGGCCTTCTGGCGGTTCCCTCATTGCGAGAAGCATAGCTATAGAGAACCAGGCAGAGGGCCTTCTCGGTAGTGGCGCCCACCCTGTGGAACGCCCTCCCACCAGATGTCAAAGAGAACAACAACTACCAGACTTTTAGAAGACATCAAGGCAGCCCTGTTTAGGGAAGCTTTTAATGTTTAATAGACTATTGTATTTTAATATTCTGTTGGAAGCCGCCCAGAGTGGGTGGGGTATAAATAATAATAATAATAATAATAATAATAATAATAATAATAATAGAGTACCCACAGAGGTCCTAGTACAGGCATCCCCAAACTTGACCCTCCAGATGTTTTGGGACTACAATTCCCACCATCCCTGACCACTGGTCCTGTTAGCTAGGGATGATGGGAGTTGTAGTCCCAAAACTTCTGGAGGGCTGAGTTTGGGGATACCTTTCCTATTAGGAGGCTGGTAGTGGCTGACAACTGCATATTTTTTGGGGGGGTCAATTCACATGTGTGGGTTCATCGCTTGTTGACCACGACACCCAGTGACAACTTGCATGTGCCAAACGGGTTATCACCACAGATTTCACACTACAGAGAGGACTTGCCTCACACATGGGGCCAGTTCATCCATCAAAGCCTTGTTAGCACACAAGGGCCTCAGGACTATCTACTAAAAACAGTTGAGGATGTGACCTCTCCACCCACACACAGAAAAGCATGGGGGATATGAGAGAGGTGGGAATATGCCAGAGCCCATGTATTTTGCTCATCCAGTTTGCAGATGGCACCAAACTGGGAGCAGGTAGCTAATGCTGCAGAAGACAGAATCAGAATTCAAAATGACCTCAACAGATTGGAGAACTGGGCCCAAACTAACAAAATGTACAGGTGAAACTTGAAAAATTAGAATATCGTGGAAAAGTTCATTTATTTCAGTAATTCAACTTATTCCATGATCATCACAATTATAACAAATAAAGGCTTGACATATCTCGCCTTGTATGTCATGAGTCTATCTCATATATTAGTTTCACCTTTTAAATTGAATTACTGAAATAAATGAACTTTTCTAATTTTTCAAGTTTCACCTGTATTTCAATAGGGAGAAATGTCAGGTTCTGCACTTAGGCAGGAAGAACCAGATGCACAAATATATGATGGGGAACACCTGGCTTACTAGCAGTACATGTGAAAAGGATCTAGAGGTCTTGGTGGACCACAAGCTTGACACGAGTCCACAGTGTGATGCAGCAGCAAAAAAAGCTAACTCTATTCTAGGCCACATTATCGGAAGTATAGGGTCCAGATCAAGGGAAGCAATAGTACTACTCTATTCTGCCTTGGTCAGACCACACCTGGAGTCCTGTATCCAGTTCTGGGTGCCACAATTTAAGATGGATGTTGACAAGCTAGAATGTGTGTAGAGGAGGGCAGTTAAGATGATCAAGGGTCTAGAAGCCAAGCCTTATGAGGAACAGTCGAGGGAGTTGTGTATGTTTAGCCTGGAGAAGAGGAGACCAAGAGGAGTGTGGAGTTGCAGTGCTCTTCGTCCGTGACATCACAGGAACTAACCAGTAGGTGCCTGTGATACTTGAAGCACCATATTCCAGACAGCACTGTGCTAACTTTTGTAGGAACTGAGTTTGCGTGCCATTGAATTATGGTAGTCACCATGGTAATGAGTGTGTAGCTAGAAAGAGAATATTTCACATGCTGCCTCTTAACATATATAGGCTAAGTAAAGGATACCGTTGAGCAGGGTGATTTAGAGAGGATAAGTAAATTACTGGTAGTTGCAAGTACCTATATTGTAACGCATGATAAAACTTTGTATTTTCCCGCAATCGCTGAATCATTAAAGAAAGATTTAGGATACTGCTTTGTTGCTGAACAGGATGCTTTCCAAGGAGTAAGTTTGGAAGCCAAGAAAACAGATCTTTGAAAGATTGCAATTAATTGAGTGATAACTACAAAGATAAGATACATCCATACATTTTCCTGTCTCTGCTGTAGCAATTTAGAATGTGTGGTGGGTGGCATTAAACTGGTTTTATTGTTGTTATTCATGGTTTAGGAACAACGTTGCTACGGTTTTATGTGATCTACAGTGGTACCTCGGGTTACATACACTTCAGGTTACATACGCTTCAGGTTACACACTCCGCTAACCCAGAAATAGTCCTTCGGGTTAAGAACTTTGCTTTAGGCTAAGAACAGAAATCGGGCTCTGGCGGCGCAGGGGCAGCAGGAGGCCCCATTAGCTAAAGTGGTGCTTCAGGTTAAGAACAGTTTCAGGTTCAGAACGGACCTCCGGAATGAATTAAGTACTTAACCCGAGGTACCACTGTATTTATAAACTTTCATGGGATGGGCTTTGGAAGTAAACCCTGAGGAAAAATCTGTACCCACTGTCTTGTGCAGAAGTCAGCAACCTTTTCCAGTCATGGGCCAGTCCACCGTCCCTCAAACCATGTGGAGGGCCAGACTATATATTTTTAAAAAATATGAACGAATTCCTATGCCCCACAAATAACCCAGAGATGCATTTTAAATCAAAGGACACATTCTACTCATGTAAAAACACGCTGATTTCCGGACCATCCGTAGGCCAGATTGCTCAAGCACCGTACGGACGGTGGTGCTTGAGCAGCGCCAGCAGCAAACCACTATGTACAGTGCATGTGCGGCGTTGCTATGTACAGCGCATGCATGCGCCGCCACACATGCACTGTACATAGTGGTTTGCCCCCAGCGCCAGGATTCTCTGCTTGCGGCTGCAGCTGTGAACGGAGCATCCTCCACATGCAGCTGCGGTGGCGCAATGGCTGCTCACGCCGCCGCGAGCCCCTGTGGGGTGCCTTCTTGTCACCCCCTCAGACATGGCACCCGGGGCACACTGCCCCCCCTGTTGCGACGCCACTGGGGTCTTGTTGTCTGGGCAGCCCAGGACCTCCAGACACACTGCCCAGGCTGTATGCGCCCCAGGGAGGTCACGTCCGAGCTGATAGCGCAGCAAAAACAACATGGGAAGAATCAGTTACGAGTTAGAAGAAGAAGAAGAAGAGTTTGGATTTGATACCCCGCTTTGTCATTACCCGAAGGAGTCTCAAAGCGGCTAATGTTCTCCTTTCCCTTCCTCCCCGACAACAAACACTCTGTGAGGTGAGTGGGGCTGAGAGACTTCAAATACCGTATTTTTCGCTGTATAACACGCACCCGACCATAACACGCGCATAGTTTTTAGAGGAGGAAAATCCGTAGGCATGCCACCCGTAGGCATTCCCTCCATAACACGCACAGACATTTCCCCTTACTTTCTAGGAGGAAAAAAGTGAGTGTTATGGTGCAAAAAATACGGTAAGTGTTACTAGCCCAAGGTCACCCAGCGGCTGCATGGGGAGGAGCGGAGACGCGAACCCAGTTCCCCAGATTACGAGTCTACCACTCTTAACCACTACACCACACTGGCTCCAGTCTCTGCAGCCACAGCAGGCACTGCTATTCTCCAGTGGTTTGAGGTCACCCCTGGAAACACACTCCATTTTCTCTTGAGACAGATGGATGCCAACAACAACAAACTTTAATTTTTCAAAATGGATTTTTAAACAAAATATTTATTGTGCGGCGTACGTCGGCGGTTGCCAACCTGACGCCTGCGTGTGACATGAGTCTCCCAGAATGGAACATAACATCTAGATTCCCAGCTTCCATTTTTAAAAAAAGTTTCTAGAATTCACAGAACCTGAGATATGAGGGAAAAGGTACCATTATTCTCGTTTTGTGTGTGTGAAAGAATTAGCCTGGGGTGATCATGGGGCAACAAAGCTGCCAGTAGCTACTAGTCATGAGGTGTCCACAGCATGAACCTAAAGCCCCCCAGCTAAGGATGGACCTGGGATAGGATAGCTCAGTCAGGAGAGCAGGACTTCATCTGCAGCCTAGGACCCTCGTACCTACGGGCCCGCCTCTCCTAGTCTGCCCCGCAGAGGACCTTAAGGTCCACAAATGACCACACTTTGGAGGTCCCAAGTCGCAAGGTGGTTAGATTGGTCTCAACTAGGGCCAGGGCCTTTTCAGTACTGGCCCCAACTTGGTGGAACGCTTTGTCACAAGAGACCAGGGCCCTGCGGGACTGGACATTTTTCTGCAGGGCCTGCAAGACAGAGCTGTTCCGCCTGGCGTTTGGTTTGGACTCAGTCTGACCCTTATGTTTCCCTCCCCTTATGGTTTTGACTTTTAAAATGAGGCTGCATTTTAAATTGCATTTTAACCTGTATTTTAAATTGGTCCCCCCCATTATGTTTTTACTGTTATTTTACTGGTGTTAGCTGCCCTGAGCCCAGCTTTGCCCGGGGAGGGTGGGGTATAAATAAATTTTATTTATTTATTATTATTATTATCATTATTATCTCAGGGTTGTGGGTTCAAGCCCCATGTTGGGCAAAACATTCCTGCATCGCAGAGGGTTGGACTAGATGACCCTCGGGTTCCCTTCCAATTCTACCATTATATGAAGCCAACTTCCTTGGGGTGGTTTCTCCCAACATGTCCTGTTCAACCTAAAACCTACAGGTCAGTGAAGTACGTAAAATCTTTTATGTGGGGGTGAGAATTAGGGCCAGCGTCTTAGCATTTGGATGAAAGGCAGAAAATATATTTTATTAATTCAAACTCTTGGATGTTTTCTTTTTTTAAAAAAAAGTCAGAGGGTCTCCGTTTCTTGCTCTGAGTGACTGAGAGAAAGACAGGCAAATTCCACTTTTGTGGAAGCTTTCTGGAAGCCCTGTCCTCAGTGACATGCCATTTAAAGAAAAAAGCAAAAAAAAAGTTCCTAAGAAAGCAGCACGTTAAACATGGGCGAATAATGAGATTTCATGTTTGATCCAGGCTTTGGGGCTGAATCTGATCATCCCAATTATTTCCTTACGTACGCGTCCCCCTTTCCTCTCTTTTCTTCTTTGCAGAATGCGTTCCCCTGTAATGCTCATAAAACTACCTGCGTAAAGAAACAATCCTTTCTGATCGCTTTATGCTCAGCTGAGAGGCCTTTTGCACAATCCCTTTGCTGCATGAATCAAGAATTTTTCTCCTTTCCACCCCTCTACTGCCAGTCTCCCACCCCACCACCACCCTGATCAAACTCAAATCCGATTAGGAACTTAATCACCCCAAGTGAAGTAATGCAAACATATTGGGTATTTCCATTTCACAGAAACAGGGGTGGTTGTTGTTTTCTTTCTAAAGGCAAGGAAGAGAAAGGCAAGCTTTTATGGGGGGCAACAGAAATCTGTCCACAAGGGCTCAGGGTGGGCAACTGACCTTTTAAAATAACAAACAAATCACTTGCCCAATCATAAAGCATTTCAAACCAACCGTTTAAAAGACTTGATTTCATTTTGTAAAAAAGAGAAAGGAAAAAAAAAGTTCATCAATTGCCCATTCTGCTTAAGGTGATCAAAGCCTTTGCATTGTTTTGAAGTGCAAAAAAGTGACTCACCACAAACTATACTGCGCTGTACAGAAAATAAAAGTTATAGAGTGAGATGGCAGAACATGTACAGAGAACTTTCTGCATGGAGGGGTATTCAAAAATATGATAGCCCTCTCCCCAGTCTATGGACCGAAGTGGTAAGGGGTAGCTCAGTCCATAAAGCATGAGATTCGGTTGGAGGATGGATGCCGGCTAACAGATTGAGGTTGAATCCTGACAAGACAGAAGTACTGTTTTCGGGGGACAGGAGACGGGCAAGTGTGGGGGACTCCCTGGTCCTGGACGGGGCAACTGTACCCCTGAAGGACCAGGTTCACAGCCTGGGAGTCATTCTGGACTCACAGCTGTCCATGGAGGCACAGGTCAGTTCTGTGTCCAGGGGAGCTGTCTACCAGCTCCATCTGGTACGCAGGATGAGACCCTATCTGCCCGCGGACTGTCTCGCCAGAGTGGTGCATGCTCTGGTTATCTCTCTCTTGAACTACTGCAATGCGCTCTATGTGGGGCTACCTTTGAAGGTGACCCGGAAACTACAATTAATCCAGAATGCGGCAGCTAGACTGGTGACTGGGAGCGGCTGCCGAAACCATATAACACCGGTCTTGAAAGACCTACACTGGCTCCCAGTACATTTCCGAGCACAATTCAAAGTGTTGGTGCTGACCTTTAAAGCCCTAAACGGCCTTGGTCCAGTATACCTGAAGGAGTGTCTCCACCTCCATCGTTCAGCCTAGACACTGAGGTCCAGCTCCAAGGGCCTTCTGGCGGTTCCCTCACTGTGAGAACCCAAGTTACAGGGAACCAGGCAGAGAGCCTTCTCGGTAGTGGTGCCCGCCCTGTGGAACGCCCTCCCACCAGATGTCAAAGAGAAAAATAACTACCAAACTTTTAGAAGACATCTAAAGGCAGCCTTGTTTAGGGAAGCTTTTAATGTTTAATAGGTTATTGTATTTTAGTGTTTTGTTGGAAGCCACCCAGAGTTGCTGGGGGGACCCAGCCAGATGGGCGGGGTATAAATAATAAATGTATTATTATTATTATTAATCTCAGGGTTGTGGTTCGAGCCCCACACTGGGTGAAATACTCCTGCGTGGCTGGAGTTTGGAATAGATGACCCTCTAGTCTGTCCTGACTCTACGATTCTACAGTCTAGAATTCTGCAACTCATTTATTTATAGAACAAAATTTATATACAAGCGTCGGAAACCCTCCAAGCAGTTTGCGAAAATAGAAACTAAAACGTCGACATTCTCAATAAATTAACAGGTATTTGAAAACATTCAAAAGATGGAGAAAACCAACAGCAGCTAAGAAGCCATAAAACACACGTAAACCTCTACGGATCTGGCTTGGGCTTGCCTAAAGGAAAGTGTTTTAAGGAGACTCTGAAAAGGCTCCAGCGAAGGCACCTGCCTGGCATCAAGTGTCAGGTAGTTCCAAAGTCTCATTTCTTACAAGCGGGGAATGTTATGTGGCACCATTAATGGTGCCCATTTCGCAGATTGGAATTAATATACTATCCCAATCCCCCACAATCCCTCCCTCTCTGGCTAATGTTCAGGTCTGATTGTGGACACTCATGTAGACTTAATGGCATAATTTCTCCACGCACAGAAGAGAGGCATCAGCAGGCTTGAAAGGGAACCTCGAAAATAATGGGGCGTGTCCAAATGTAGCTGCGTGTGGTCTGAACCTGCTCAGTATCCCCGAAATGTTGACTGCGTGTTGTGGGCTAGCTGCCACTCAACCTGGAACAGAGGCTCAGCCGGCCACAACTGGAAGCCAGGCATTTAATAATCTCAGAAGCATAGAGCTGAAAGGGACAACCAGGGTCATCTAGTCCAACCCACTGGAATGCAGGAATCTTTTTGTCCTACATGCAACCTTGAGATTAAGAGTTAATAATAATACACTGGTACCTCTGGATACAAACGGGATCCGTTTCGGAGCCCCGTTCACATCCAGAAGCAAACGTAACTAGTGACGGCACGTCTGCGCATGCGCACACCGCTTTTCGCCGCTTCTGCGCATGTGCGTGATGTCATTTTGAGCTTCTGTGCATGCGCAAGCAGCGAAACCCAGAAGTAACGTGCTCCGGTACTTCCAGGTTGCCATGGAGCACAACTCGAACGCGCTCAACCAGAAGCGCATTCAACCCGAGGTATGACTGTAATAATAATAAGAATAATAATGTTATTATTTATATGACGCCCATCTGACTGGGGTTGCCCCAGCCACTCTGGGTGGCTCTCAACAAAATA